CACTGACTCCATCACAATTCTCAAACCAAAAAGTAAGTCTGCCCTCGAAACCAACCTCAGCGAGCATCTTAAACTCAAATCCCTGAGGCCGAAGAGGATTTTAGACAATTCTGCTTGTCCTCACTATCTTCATCCTCATTCTACAGCCCAAAAGTTCGTCCTCCCACGCCCATCCCCTCATCGCTACTCGGTGTTGACCTTCATGCAGTAAGGGAGGCGTGCCCTGTTCTCCTTCATGCTCACCATCTTGTAAACAAGAGACTTCCCTAGGAAGTCGATCTGCCTCTGAAACATAAACCAACAACATCCCGGGCAGTCAGCAGGGATAGACAACTAAAACAATCTGCACAATCAAGTATTAAGTCATGTCATCCAAAGTCTTCCTACTTACATCAGTCAGTCCAGAAACCTTCTCCCCATTGTAGTCCCGGAGGTAGTGCATCGCATATATCCAGCTTTCCTCCCTAGTCACACAGTCAGCATCATGTACGACACAAGTAACCGAACAAATGGGAGTCCATCGAGACAAAAAAATTACATGTCGCAGCTGCGGTGCATGCCAGTGCTGAATTGCAATGTCCACCCTGCAGTTGACACCCTAACAGCAGGAATGCACTCGTGGATGCAACGTCTCAAATTAGATATCACCCTTGTTGCGTTCGCCGTGTGCTTATCTTCCATTTCGTGAGGCAACTCGTCCGTCTCTACTGGGTCCATTACAAGACACTTCTTTTTCTGAAGATCAATGGCATACACTGCCTAGCTATCCCGATGCTTCAGTATCAGCATCACCTGCGCCGGTTGTTGTTTTGCATACAAAGTTCGAATCAAAAAAAGTTCACCAAACTTGGCAGCAGAGTTAGAGGCTTATGCCAGCTAAACCATAAAAGGTCCAAGATCTCACATTCTGGCAGGCCTCAATCCTCACTCCAGTGTGCTCTTCGGTTATCATTGTTGCAATTTCACCGAAGTCAAGCTCCGATGCTCTTTCTACCTCCATTAGCCGGTCCTGTGAATAGATTATTTTTTCATGATTCATGTTAGTTCCTCAACTTTTCTTCTAACTCGAATGCACATGCTAACAAGCATTAAATCTGTTTCACTTACTTCAAGCCTGAAATCTGGTATCATCCTGAAGCGTTCCGGCAAACCAGCAAATAGAATTGTCTCCTCCTTCCTCACCAGCCACCACATATTCACCATGTGATCAACATCAGGGTCCCCATCACGATCGAAGTAAATCTGGATCTGGGTCCCTGTCAGGTTGGTCCTGTCCGGGTGTGGGTGACAATACCATTTCCTGCCATGTTTCACCATTTTATAATTTTGATTAGACTACAGTCTTCAGACCACTCCGGGACCGAATTTTTATAAACAGTTTATGTGCATTTTTTATTTACCTTGCCAACTCCATGGATGAGCACCTGTTCATCTTATCATGCCAGCCCATTACATCTCATCCTATAGGTTCATCGGGGTGCAGTCCCAGTCTCCCAGGGTACTTCTCTCTAACCTCATCCTTGGGTTTGATGAACATACAGAGATGTGACGGAACTTGAGCTGTGTATGGTGACAATTAGCCCGATGACCGAGAACTAAATTTTGCAATATTCAGACTTCATTTCAGAAATAGGAAAAAGAGCAAGAGGATGCTACGACACGCACCTTCTGTTTCCCACACCGGAGCATGCTGCCTGCCCTCAGAAATCATTGGTCCACCTGCAAGAACACACACACATAATGCAAGAGTCAGTCATCTTCACACCCAGACCACACTTAATTTTTTTAATAAGGCGATGCTAATTTTTGCACAGTCCGTCCTGGTGTGGGAGTCAAGATGATTATGGTTCCTTTACCTCCAGCCATTGCTCTACGGATCGCCTCCATAACGGGATCCTCTGGCACCACAGCCTCTTTTCCTTTGTCATCTGGAAAAAGTCAGAAATAAAACAATTAGTTTTAAATAAACTCCTAACAAAGCTGATGCAACACCCACATCAAGTGCATTTAACTAATCTCGGGGGGCTTACGTTTTCATATGTGTTGTACGGCCCCACTTGCTGATGGCCCACCAACGGTAGCACTGCTGGACAACGGCTCAACAGGGACAGCCTGGTCACCATGGCCTTCGTGCCCGACCGCTCGTGTGTTTGATTTGTTGCCGATGTCCGGTGTCGATCGTGACACAATGTCAGACAAAAACCTCACCTTCTTTGGCCAAGGATCTTCGCCTTCTTCGGCTGGTCTCTTTCGATCTCCTCCAGGATGTCCTGCCGATGCAGCCGTACCGCCCAACACTCTCAGCAGAGCAAGTGTCCCCATCCCCGTGACCACCATCATACTTGATCCATAAGCAGGCACTGTTAATTTTTTCCAAAATTAGGTTAGTCAACTACCGGGGCACAAAAAGCTCTCAAAACATGCAACAACCAATACAGTTGTCCATACGGCCAATGCGTTTTGTTTTTTCGTACCTTCCACTGTTGATACCAGAGTAGCAACAGCGCCTTTGCATGCAGAAACTGCCAGGGGGTCCTCAGCTAGATCATTGGCGTCAACCTCTGTGTTGAGAACAAACACGATATCAGATCTTTTTCTCTGGAAATTGCAAGCACTATAAAGGGTGCCACGACTTGTTGTCACCTTTTTTTCTAGTTTCCGTTCCAATTCTCGCGCGTACGCCTCATCATTTGATAAATGACTGCCACACTCCCAGCTTGGTGCTTTTGCAGCCAACCCTTCAGGACCAACGCTTACCTTGCCTGCAACAAAATTATTACATTTTTTTAGAACAATTGATATTACCACAATATCAGTCAAATTCCCTTCTTCGTTTTTTCAATTTTTACAGATTCTCTTTTACTAACCCAGGGATGCAAACATTGAACGCAGGCAGAATGCAATGTCCTCATCATGCAGGGCAACCTCGTCATCACTTTCAGCAGCAATACTTGGAACAAGGGCTGGCAGCGCCATCGTCGATGCAATGGCAACGCTGCTTGCACACGCATCAGCTTGATCAGCTGGGTTGACAAAGCGTGTAGCCTCTACGCCAACCCACGCCTTTGCACTCCAAGGAATATGAAAACGGCTATCGCCTGCCTCCCCACCAGCAATCGCAACTGCAAGCAAACGTCAACCCCAATCAAATTCATGGTCATGCACTCTACAGCCTACATTCCAGAAATTCAAAGAATGGAGCTCCTCGGTTGCGGAATCATTTACCTGATCCAGATGGTTCTCTGCGAGAAGATCCAGCACCAGAACCTACATCAGTGCCAACAAGTGAGATGTTGCCTCCTCGGTCTGCAATTTTTGGAACTTTTTCCTATCAGCTATCAGTGCACTCATAGTTCTACATATCGAATATTTTGTTAATAATGCGACCGCCCCACACCGCCCCACACTGCTTCGTGCGCCATGCTAACAGCATTAGGGTACAGCTTGCTTCCAAAATAATACTGTAGT